GGGGGAGGGATTTGCCAAGTACAAGTTTGGTAAGAAGCTAGCAAAGACTGAAGACAATTTTAAGAGGTGAGATAAGGAGGAACTGGGGGGTGAGAGCCTAAAGAGGATGAGTTATTGTATGAGTTACAGAGGCTTGGTTTCTTGGAGAATGAAGGAGGATTTCCATTAAGGATGTTGGATATAGGCTTAAAATCATAATGGAGTTAAAGAACTTTCTTCTTTTGGAAGAGTTTGAGCAGCAAGAGAAGTCTAGAACCATATGGATAAAATAAGGGGATAGAAACACAAGATTCTTCAACAATCGAACCAACCACCATCAGAGATGTAATTACATCGAGATGGCAATGTGATCAAAGGGAATGAGGCATTGACGGAGAATGTCAATTCTTCTTTTGAAGAGCTATACACTAAAGATGCATAATGGAGATGTTTTCTGGATGGCCTTGATTTCAAGAGGCTGAGCAACATGGATAATATATATCTTGAGCAGCCCTTTTCTGAGACCGTGATGCTTTCATGAGTTGTAAAGGTAATAAAGTGCCAGGTAGGACGAGTTCAACGTGAGGGTTCTCCATCGAAATTTGAACTTTTAAAGGGAAAAATTATTTCTTTATTTGAGGAGTTTCACAAATATGGATCCTTTGAGAAGAGGTTGAATATCACTTTTTTGGTCTTTATACTGAAGGTTCAAGGAGCTTTTAACATTAGAGACTTTGGACCTATTAGTTTAGTGAGGTGAAGGGGATATGCAAGCTCATTATAAAGTTTCTTTACGAGGAAAATGCCTAGAGTGGTAGGAAATGTTATGGGTGAGTGCCGACATATTTTTGTTGCAGGGGGGGGGGGGGGGGTTGGTGGGAAGATAAATACTTGATGTTGCCCTGCTAGCGAATGAGGTTGTTGACAATCTTCTTAAGAAAGGGATGCAAGGGATGTCATGCAAACTTGACATTGAAAAGGTTTATGATCACATTACTTGGAATTCTTTGTTTATATGTTGGAGGGTATGAGGTTCACGGTTAAGTGGCGTGCTTCGATGAAGCCTTGCATTATCTCTTCTCCTTTGTGGTATTGGTGAATGACAGCCCATCATCTTTCTTCAAGGTGTCCAGGGGCATGAAACAAGGAGATCCTTTGTATCCCTTGCTCTTTATTATGACTTTAGACAAGTTATTACCCAAGATTGAGGATATACAATTTTTTAGAAGGTTGGAAGTGGGGGAGATGGGTGAATATGTGGAAATGACGTACTTATTTTTTGCTAATGGCACTCTTTTGTTCTATGAACCGAAGGTATATATTCAATAACGAGCTTATTCTGTTATGCTTCCGGGCCATTTTTGAGCTGAACGTTAATATAGGAAAGTCAAAATTAGTCTAGCTGGGTGACATTATGGAAAGTGAGAATCTAGCCAAGGAATGTCAATCTTCTGAGCAAATACTTGAGATTGCCACTTGGTGCAAAGGCAAAGTCATTGCCTTGGGATTAGGTCGTGAGCAAATTTAGTTTTGTTTGGTAGGATGGAAGAGGTGCCTTACTTTTGAAGGAGGAAAGACTTACCCTCATCAAAAGCTCCATTGGTTGTCCCCTATCTTTCATGTCCTTGTCCACCATCTTATGGAGTATTGTTGAGAGATTGGAGGCAATTCAACAAAGATTCTTGCGGGATAAGGATTGTTTCCAGAGATTCATGAGGGAGAGGATTGTTGCCAGTGGAAGTTGACAGTGGCTGAGTTTGGTTAGTTATCTTTGGCGAGTATGTCAAGAACCTCAGTACGATGTAGGGATGTGGAAGGGAATAAATATGGGCAAAGGGCTGTTTGAAAAATGCATCAGATAGAGACTGGGATTAGAAGAGAAGGTGAGGTTTTGGAGGGACGATTTGATGGAAGGTGGGGCTCTTTACCTGTGGTTTGTAGCTATGTTTGCTATTTCTTATAACAAGGATGTTTCATTCAAGGATTCAAACATTTTTTTCAAAAAAAAAATTTAAGGATTCATACAAGGCGTAGGCCAGGATAGGCACTTGGGCAATTGAATCAACTCGGAGCTTGAATGACTGGGACATTAGTGACTGTATGAGGCTTCTTAATTTTCTGTCTGATGATGATTTCCAATGGGACTAAGGATCAACCAATTTGAAATTTGAGTTCTAAGGGATTATTCTGAGCCAAATTATTTTTTTCTTGAAATAATATTCTGAGCCAAATTATATTACTTGAATTTGACCAGAAGCGAGGATGAAGCGAGAAACTCCAATGGAATCTTGTTTGGAAGGCAAAACCAACTTCAGGTGGCTTTTTCTTTGCTTGAGAAGCAATGTGGGAATGCATTTTAACACTGGATAAGCTGACTAGGAGGTGTAAGATTTTGTGTGAATCAGTATTTTTTGTGCAAATGGAGCAGAGACATATAATCATATCCTCCAATAATGTCCATATGCAGATCGTCTGTGGTCTTTGGTTTATAGTTTATTAAGCTTGAGCTGGGTTATTGCGGGCGCTATGAGGGAGGAGCTTTTGGTGTGAAAGATATTCAAAGTGATAAATAATCTGTTAGGTTTATCCCTATGGTTACCTTTCCACTATTTGAAAAGAGAGAAACAGTAGCATTTTGACAGTATGGAGTATAACTTTGGTAGGTTAAAGGTTCACGGTTCCAAACTCGAGTTTGTTTTAGGGGTCAAGCGCTATATTCTAGTGAGGTTATGGGACTTCATAAACACTTTGGTAGTGTTATAAATATTTTATATACAGGTTGCACCCTCTTGGTGCTCTTTGAATTTATTATCTTTTTTCCCAAAGAAAAAAAATATTCGAATCTTTTTTACCACAACAAAAGAAATACACTTAAAATAAAAAGAGAAAATCTCATGCTCTGTCTGAACATATACAAGGCACACGATTTAGAACTAAGCCAACCACACATCTGGATATGCTGTTTCAAGCAATCACCTTCCTTTGGGGTTGTTTGTTAGGGTCTCTATGGGTAGATCTTGTTATGGGATGACAAACGTAGAGATTAGTGGGAATTAGTGAATGTTTCTTAGTTTTTATTCCTTTATCAGTCTTTAATCCAATTTATGGGCTCACTAAAAGGCAACCTGACGATCTCTAGCATAAGAAAACAATCAATACTTCAAAATAGCTCTTCATTCATAATCTGTCGGAAAGACAGCAGCAAGTTTTATGCAATGGGAGGGTAGTTATTCTGGAAGTTATTTCACTGAAACTATCTACACCTTGGTCCATGAATTACATAATATTCTCACATAATAGAATGCTTTAATACATTTATTATCAATTACTAAGTGCAGAACACATTGACTTTAATTGTCACTTTAATCGAGAAAAGCTTCTACAAAAATGTGATTCAGACTGTTTATGTGAAATCAGCAAACTAATTAGCTATATATGGGGAGCTTGTGTGAAGTTCATTTGTAACGAATTTGGTGCATATGATATAAGTGCTCCAGCTGGTGATGAGTGTTAGAAATATAGAACTCATCTTCGTATGTCATAAATGTCTTGTATGGTTTTTCTCCAATATGGTTAAGTTTCCTATTGATAGTTTTTCTTTTCTTGACTTAGAGATCCTCATGAATACCCACATAGGGTTTTTTCCCAACAAACAATGAAGTTAAAATATTTATTTATAGGCAGGCCGAACCCCCATGTTATGTTGCTAATTTTTTTCTCTCAAAAAGAATATTATGTACGGAGTCATGGTAGGTCCAGTTCAACAGCTTCATATTGCACTTCAATATATTTTTTGTTACTAGTGGGGCATCCGGCTGATGAAACAAACATTTGATATTTTATTATTTCAAAATCTTCCCTCCCTTGCTGTTCAATAGCTTTAATTTTATTTGTTTATGAAGTTTTCTTTCTTTTTGTAATTGTTTAATTCCGTTTGTTTAAGCTTCTTATTTTTATTTCTTGCTGTCCTTTCTACTTACTAGAGGTCCCTGGGGTGCTCTTTCTCCAATTCCAGAAAATAACGCAGTTGCTGTTAACACTCAGGTTTCTCAAATCATTTAGTTTGGTTTGCATTCTGTAACTATTGCCTGCTTCTTTTTCTAGTTGCCATTTACTCTCTTATAAATGTTCTGATGCATTTCATTTTGTTCTACAATAGATGGGAAACATTTTTTCAGCTGCTGGTGACTCCTGTGCATATTGCTGGGATGTGGTATGTATTTGATCAAGTTCAATAATTTTTTACTCATGTTTACATGTGTCTTTTAGCGAATTATTGCAACTGTCTTTTCATTGTATATATCTTTGATGTTTCTCATTTTTCTCTGGGGATAGACCGGTTTCAGCATTTTCTTTTATGATCTTCTCAGGAGGAAAGTAAGATAAAAATGGTTTTTAAGGGACATTCCGACTACTTACATTGCGTATTGCTCGTAACTCTACCAATCAGGTTTTTTTTCCCTTTTCTTTTTGTGATACCATTGCCCTTGTGATGCAGTATAGATATTTTATATAATTATGTTGTTTTAAGGATAAACTACTAGAACAGACTTTTTTATTGTTCTTATTTGTATTTCTTTTTAGTTAGAAGCTTGTTTTATATATTTCCTATTAAGTATACTAGTCATACTAACCTATGTAAACACCGTATGAATATATAGGTGGTTCGATATTATTGAGTACAAGTAAAACCTATCGATTTTCTTGCACTAACTGAGTGTCTAACTGTTGGCACAAATAATGAATGCCTAGAGGGGGTGAAATAGATGTTAAAAAGATAATATATATTTAAAATTTTTGAAATCAAGAGGAAGGAGATGGGTAGCTGACAGAGGAGGATAGGTGGGTGTTGGAGGGGGATAGAAACACCCAATATTTTCACTGTTTAGCTAGTCACCACAGGTGTAGTAATTATGTGGCTAGCCTGAAGTTTGGGGATGGGCAAGTTGAAGGAAATAAGGAGCTGTGAAGAGCAGTCAAGGATACTTTGCTCAGTTATATAAGGAGGAAAGAGAGTGGAGATTGAACCTGGATGGATTATTCTTCCCTAGTCTGTATGAGCATGCTAAGGCTGATTTGGAGAGTGCCTTCTCCGAGGAGGAGATCCTTGAAGATCTTCGAGCCTGCAATAAAGATAACGCTCCGGGTCTGGACAAGTTCAATATGGGTTTTCTGCTTGAATTTTGGGATGTGATCAAGGTGGATATGAAGGCTGTGTTTGAGAAATTTCATGATTCAGGGAGGTTTGTCAAATCTTTAAATTCAACCTTCATTGTTCTAATTCCCAAGGTTGGAGGGGCTGCAAACATTAAAGAATTCAGACCAGTTAGCCTTATCAGGAGTGTGTATAAGTTGATTGCCAAAGTTCTTGCGAGGAGAATGGCTAGAGTACTTGATACGGTGGTTGGTGAATGCGAACATGCCTGTCAGAGGCAGACATATTATGGATGTAGCTTTAATTGCAAATGAAGTGGTGGATGATATTGTTAGTAATAAAAGGGAGGAGTTTCTTTGCAAGTTGGATGTGGAGAAGACGCACGATCATGTTAATTGAGGATTCGTTGACTATATGCTTTTGAGACTTGGTTTGGGGTGAGGTGGAGGCAGTGGATGAAGTGGTGTATTTTTACAACTTCATTTGAGGTAATGATCAATGGGGGACCTTCTAATTTCTTTCAAGCCTCTTAGGATCTTAGACAAGGTGATCTGTTATCTCCACTACTATTCAGAATGTTGATGAAAGATAGGGAGCTTTTGACGTGATCCTAGACGGCTCAAATTTAGTTCCAATGATGCAATCCCGCATCAAAGAGGAATCTTCCAGGTCTTGTCCCAAACAGGAAAGCGATGTCAACATCCTTTTAATTCTAAAATGGGATCACCCAAAATAGAAAATTAATTCCATCCCTGACTACTTTTCTAATTGGGATTATTTTAAGGAATGGACCAAGTTTGCCCAAATGAAGTTTAAGACCCAAGTAAGCTTAATGAATTTGGAGAATAAGTCATGGCCCAAGAAGAGTCAAGACTCACGGCCAAAGAGGCCCATGACCCAATTAAGAATTGGTCTTGGAAGGCCTTTGATCGCACATACAACCCGTGCACCTGTGTGGACCAAGCAGGCCGCATGCTTGGTGCGCGCAAGGGGAAGGCAGCCCACATGCGCACACTCCTATGCATGTGCGCTAGCCATCCGGCCCACGCCTCACATGGGCCAACACGTGTGGCCCGAAGCCCACGCCCCACATGTGCCTACGCATGCGGCCCGACGCCCATGCCCAACAGCAAGCCCCGCGCGGCCCAACTACCCGTCCGCATGCCAAATGGCCCAATCCGACCGGCCTTGAAGCCCGAGCGGCACTTCCTCTTGGATACGCTTAAGGATTTGTTTATTTTAATCTTTTCTACTCCAAAAAAGGTTTCCACAGCTGCAACAACTCTAATTAATTAATTTAATGGGATAAATATGAAGAAATTAGAGGAAGAAGTCTACACAAGGCGGGTGTCCAAGGAAGGAAAGGCTATCTTGAAGATTTGGATAAACGAGAGTATTATTTTATTATTATTATAATTTTCCAACAGCCCTATTAATTAGAATAAGGATATATCTTAATTATTTTAATATTTATTTAATTCCTACATGTTTAAATTAATTTTTCCATGTATTTTACATGGAAATCACATGGAATAAAGTATTATCTTATTTTTATTATTATTTTAATGTAAATTCTATTCTTAAGATTATTTAATTAATTATTTTGTATTTAGATGAGATAAAATAAGTATTTTATTGTATAATTATCCTAAAATTAGAGAGAGTTTTATTTATGATAGTATTTTATTAATTTTTTTTAAGAGATTGTAATCATCTAGAAGTACTCCGGAAAAGGTTATAAATAGACATTTACCCATAGGTTGTAAATACATCAATTACAATCAATTTGAGAGAAATTCTTAAAAGTTTAGGCTTTTCTTCTATTAACATTTTTACTAATCTAATTTCTTCAAGTTCTTCAAGAAGTAGGAGTGTTCAGAAATCTTATTGAGCCAAAAAGCAGGGATTAACTTATTAGTAAGTTCGAGACCTTTTTTCTTTTCTTATTTATTTTCTCTAATATTTGTTTTTGCATTTCTTTTAAAAATATAGATTCAATTAGAGGGAGAGATTTTCTAAGCGGTTAAGTTTCAGTATTGTATAACGTTAAGTGGGTTATAGGAGTTGATTCAGTCCTCCCCATATCCTTCCCGCGTCAGCTTTGTTTGTTTAAAGGAGTGAGTATTGGAAAGGGGGCCAATAAAGAGGAGGTGACACACTTGTTTTTTGCAGATGATGTTCTAATTTTTTGTGAACAGA